CAGCTGGGAGAGCTGGGGCGGGTGACGGAGCCAGGTGCCAGGTCCGCATAGGGACCCACAGCCGACGGGGGGCAAGGTTCCACCGAGGGGTTCCACGAGCGCTGCAGATGGGATCTGGGAGGTGGAGAGAGGGGGAGAAAGCAAAAGCAAGTTTGGGAAAACATCCCCAACTGACCTGACCGTGTCCCGCTGGCACAAGGAGGGCTGGAGGTGGCTCAGGCTCAGTCCGTGGGAGCGAATGCCAGCAGAGGCGTCCACGCTGCGGTTGGATGCGGTCACTGTTCAGGGGGTGGAGGGTCGAACTGTGAGCGGGATCGACGCTTTCAGAGCCCCCGTCTTCGGGGATTTATTTACCCCCCCGGAGGGCTCGTGTTCCCAGCTCAGCCGCGGGTGCTGGGCACAGCACGGGGAGCCCCAGCGCCCCAGGACGAGCAGCTCAAACCCACCGCGCTCGGTGGGAAGAGCCGCAGGCACCGCACACAGGGCTCTGGTGCACCAGCAGCCCCGGCCAAGGGGAAGCCGCATTTCTCCGGTCAGCGTTGCCAGGAGGGCGGTGGGAGGGTTTGGGGGGGCTCATTGCCCGCCTGCAAAGGGACCTGCTGTATCTACACAGGGATGCAGGCCCTGGTGCTGAAAAGCCCCTCCAAAATAACCTGCATGAAGCAGAGCAAACCCCGGGCGGGGATGCGTTCGGGGCAGGGGAATCACATCTCCGTGCAGGGAGAAGTGGGAAGCGGAGGTGCAGAGAGGGAGGGGAACGGCTGGAGAGCGGGACTGGAGAGAGGGAGGCCCCTGCGGCTTTCTGAGAACGTGGCACCCCAAGGAGCAGGACCAGGAGCCCCAGCTCTTGTAAGGCTTTGTCCCGCTTCAATTTTGCGGGAGCGAACCCCTCGGCTCATTTCCAGCGCGAGGGGTGTGGGCCAGACCCACACCAATAGGGCACCCCTCGCAGCCTACGCCGACCGAAAAGAGAGGCACAGAGAGTTTGTTAACAGGGCAGGCAGCACAGCCGCAGCCCCCGCCAGGGCCATTAACGCTGGGCAGCATCTCGGCACAGCCCTCTCAAGCTGCAAGAGGCATTTCCAGCCCCTTTGGAGGGGACAGAGCCGGCGGTGACAGGTCCCTTTTGTGCCACCGCAGGCAGCGGCATCGGGACGCAGGGCACATCTCGCCCCGTGGGAAGAGGCTGCCCACAGCTTATTGTCCCACTAGGGACTGAAAGCCGGATTCGCCTTTTCACAACCCCCCTCTCCGACATCCCCACCGCTGGCAGCCTCCAAAGAACTGGAGAGGGCGAGGAAATTATATCGGTGCCTGGCTCAATACTTTCCACTAGCAGAGCAAATAAAGGAGCTTTGGTGTGAATGAATACAGGGAATGGAAGACCTTTTTTTTTTCCTCTCCCCTATAAAACACCGCCCCGCAGCCTCCCTAGTCACCAGCGCCTGGCCTGGACCCTCAGAGCCTGACTGCAAGCGTGCTGAAACCAAGCCTCTTAAAGGCACTTCAAATTAACACTTAAAAGTCACACATTTTTAAAAATGTATACTTTCCAAAGCCCCTTTCAAAACTGAGCTGAGAAGCCGCCCAATAACCACGGTGGTTATTTTTGCCGATCCCAACGTCGCGGGGGTTGGGGATGCTCCCGCGGGTAGCAACACGCAGAGCCCTGGCAGGAGGACAAACTCATCCTGAACCACAAAGGCGGTGAGCAAAGGGGAAAAGAACAAAGGAAATGCTGTAGGGATAAGGAAGAGACCCACCTACACCTCATCCTATCAAATCAAAAGCAAACCAAGGTTATGCCTTCCTTCACCCGGGTCAAGTAACATTCAAAGGGGTTGGGAATGGCAAAGCTTTTTTTTGTCCTGAAAAGCAGAAAGCTTGGTCAGCAAAGCATACCTTTGAGGGTGGATTCACATATCAAAAATGTACCCGTCTCTGGGGCTGCGTAGGAGAAACACGGGCTGGGCTAGGAATCACCACAGAAGAAGAGGTACAAACATCTTGTATTTTATTAAGCTAGTCAATGTGTTCGGATCACAGTCAAGACACATGCTGTGAGAGCCCCCGAGCTCCCCCTTGTCCCAGCTGGGGTCCAACAGCCATCCCACCGGTCCCCCAGCAAGAGCTATCTAAGCACAAATCCACAGGCTGGGCTTTTTTTTGTGCTACAAAAGGACTGAGGGAGAGATGATTGTCCCTCGCCTCAAACCGAGCAACAGTCCTCTCCCTGACAGCAGACAGAGGCAGGACCAGCGACACGGGGATCCTGTGCCGGCCCCCCCTCCTTTCTTCATTCTCGCAGCCACCCCGTTTTCCCCACCCCATTTTCTGCCCCAGCCAGACCGGCTAGCTCTGCCATTTTTCCCCCGCTGGCCTGCCAAAGAGAAAGAGGGGGGTGGGGGGGGGAAGAAAAAAAACAAAGATCTAAGATGCAAGCAAAAATCCAAGGCATTGCAGGTGGCATTGAGCCGAGCAAGGATGGGAGCAGAAGGAAGAGTCGCTTGGCACAGCCCATGAAAACCACTGAGCAGAAGTCCAACAAGGACCAGAGTGACTGTGTCCACCAGCCATGGCACGGGGACAGGCCCTGGCCCCCGTGCTGCCTCCACGGGATACCCAGCAAGCCTCAACCACTGCAAACCTGCGCTCTCCCAGCTGGGATCAGCCCATGAGCTTCTGAGAGCTCAACACGGTGGTAACGGAAAGAAAACCAAAACCAAGAAACACACAAAAACAATGCTTTCTGCCCACAAGATTGTTTTTCTTTTTGCTCTCCTTCCCAGTACAGTGGGCTTTATGGGACTAGCTTGGAGCATGTCTCGGCAAGCTTTGAGTTGGTCCAGAAATGGCACCATAGGGATTAGCAGTGGACCAGAGCTGGCTTTCACGTGGCTCAATCGTTGCACGACGCTAGCTTGGCAAGTCAGTCTGCGGCGCTCTCAGGCTGGCATGAATGTGCTGCGGTGAGCCCTTGGGAAACCCCAGCGGCAGCGCTCAGGAGCCACGGGCAGAGCAGTGAGCCAGGATACACGGAGCCTCCCCACTGACCGTCAAGTTTTCTTTAGCCCCGGAGAACTGCTTAGCATCAGCAACCACAACCAACGCAACAGGCCGGGGAAACCAGCCTCCTGCTTTTGGCTTCTCAGTTGGGGTTTGGAAGTGACGCACCAAATCCCGTGTGGGGCAAACTGGCACAAGCCCTTGGACGCAGCAGACCTGGATCAATTTATAGCCAGGGAGGAGACTCCAACTCATCACGAGTGCTGGGATTGGGGCCAAGAAGTGTCTTCCTTGACCCCAATCTTAAAGACGTCAAGCTGAACCTCCATTAGAAGGCAACACTTGCCGGAGGACACAGCTTGCCATCTTCCCTGAGGCCGCTCTGCAGCTGCGCTGCTCCGGAGCTTTGAAGTCTCCCACTTTTTCAGCTTCATGTATCTCTGACTGGGGTCAGAAAAATTCATCAGGTCCTCAACCACAGTTGCATGTTCTGGAGAGGAAGCAGGGTAGCACAGGGATCTTTCAGGTGCCTTTTTTAAAAGGTTACTATCCCTCCCCGCTCAGCCCAGAGGTAGGATGTGCTGAAAGATGCCACTGGGCAGTTCAGATTCCCTGCTGAAGGGCTAGGGCCTTTTCCTCCTCTCCAGGTGTGCAAAACTTCAGGGTAATATTAAAACAATCCCTCAGGAGACCAGGTCAGTTACTAAGGGATGGTTACGAGGAAAGTAAGGCAGCAGCCTTGCTGCCTTTTAGAAAGAAGCCCTCTGATTTCACCGTGGGGCTCACTGCAGCTCAGCCAACCTCTTGTTACAGAAATGTCAAGT